GGTGATGGGAATCGAACCCACGTGGCTAGCTTGGAAGGCTAGAGCTCTACCACTGAGCTACACCCGCTGGCAGAAGAAGTGGTAAAGTGCATCCATTATAAACCTCTTGGGCCGCTTTCTTCCAGAGGCAATTTCAGCCCGATCCCGCCACAACGGCTTCCGCAGGTGACTCTCCATGCTTCGAACCAGATTCACAGACATGCTCGGTCTATCTTACCCCGTAATGTCCGCGCCCATGAGCAACCATAGCGGCGGACAACTGGCGGCGGCAGTTTCCCAGGTTGGGGGGCTGGGCACCTTTGGGGGCAGCAACGATTTCGGCGCCGACTGGATGCGGCAGCAGATCGCCTACATACGGGCACAGACTGACCGTCCCTTCGGTGTAGGCTTCATCACCCATCTCATCGAGCCGGACTCCTCCAACTTCGAAATTGCCCTGGAGGAGGGCGTACCGGTAATAGTTTTCTCCTTTGCCGACCCCCAACCCTGGCTGGCGCTGGCCCGAGATGCGGGGGCGGTTACCATTTGCCAGGTGCAATCACTGGAACTGGCACAAATGGCGGTGGACGCCGGGGTAGATGTACTGCTGGCCCAGGGCAACGAAGCGGGAGGCCACACCGGTGAAATGAACCTGCTGCCCCTGTTGGTTGCCTTGGTCGAACGATATCCGCAGGTGCCGGTTCTGGCCGCCGGAGGCATCACCAGCGGGCGGGCCCTGGCCGGGGTCATGGCAGCGGGCGCCCAGGGAGCTTCACTGGGCACGGCCCTGCTGGCAACGCCGGAGGCGGTAGAGGTGCCGGAGGTGTTCAAGGAGCGGGTAGTGCTGTCCGATGGTCAGGACACCGCCTTTACCCGCCTTTACGACCTGCTGGGCGCCCGTCCTTGGCCCAACGGCATAGCGGGCCGGGTGTACCGCAACCGCCTGGTGAGAGAATGGGACGGCAGAGACGCAGACATCCTCGCCCACCGGGAGGAGTTGATATCGGACGTCGCCGCCGGTCGGGCACGTCAGGACCCGGAAGTTTCCTCGGTTTATATGGGGCAGGGAGCCGGGCACATCAAATCAATCAGGCCGGCAGCGGACGTAGTGAGGGACGTATGCGAGGAGGCGGAGAAGATAATCCTCGAACTGGCGCAAATGAACACGAACATTGCCCAAAATACTTAGGCCGACGCTGTTATATCAGTAGCGTCGGCCCGTTTCGCAATCCTTCGCGGTTTAAGGGTCTTCTACACCTTCACCGCCGTGGGGGTGTGGGCTCGGGTGACCGAGGTTACGCCCTTGACTCCTTCAAGCTTGGCAAACAGCTGCCCCAATTGCTCCAAGCCGGTGGTATGCAGCGTAAGCTCCATTATCACCGTGCCGTCGGACTTCTCCTGGGTTACCACCGAGGCGATGTTGACCCGTTCCTCCGAAACCCGCACGGTTACGTCCCGCAGCAGGCCCACCCGGTCGTACGCGTCGATGCAGACCCGAACCGGGTACAACTCCTTCGCCTCACCCCACGACACGTGAACAATGCGCTCCGGCTCGTCCTCGTTGATCAGGCTTATGCAGTCCTTCTTGTGAACCGTAACGCCCCGGGTTCGGGTGACGAAGCCGGAAATCTCGTCACCGGGAATGGGGTTGCAGCAACGGGCTATGCGACTCAGCAGGTCGCCAACGCCCAGCACGGAAATCCCCGAACTGGGACTGGACAGGGGCAAATTGGGCTTAGGCAGGGGGAATTCCGGTTCCTGTCGCGCGGCCTGGGATAGACGGTGGGCCAGTTGGCCATCGGTGAGGCCGCCAGAACCCAGGTTCAACAGGAAATCGTCCATGGTCTCGAACCGGACCAGGTTCAGAATCTCCGAATCATCCAGCTTCAGGTTCAGGAGGCGTAGTTCCTTGCGCAGCTTGTCACGGCCCCGCTCAATATTGCTGCCCCGGGCCTGGTGGTTGAACCACTGGCGCACCTTTTGCCGCGCGCTGGCCGACTTGACGTAACCAAGATTGGGATTGAGCCAATCAAGACTAGGGCCCCGGTTGGCCTTGGTGGTCATAATTTCTACGGTGTCGCCGTTTTGCAGAGGAGTGTCCAGGCTTACCAGGCGCCCGTTGACCTTGCCACCCATGCAGTGATGGCCCAAGTCAGTATGAATCTTGTAGGCAAAATCCACCGGGGTGCAGCCGGCGGCCAGTTCTACGATTTCCCCTTTGGGGGTGTAGACAAAGACCTGGTCGCGGAATATGTCCTGCTGGACCGACTCGATAAAGTCCTCAGTCTCGGCAGCATCCCGCTGCCACTCCAGCAACTGGCGGAGCCACGTCATCTTCTCTTCAAATTTCAGGTCGTTAGCCCGGCCTTCCTTGTAGCGCCAGTGGGCGGCTACCCCGTACTCCGACACCTGGTGCATCTCGGTGGTCTTGATCTGCACTTCCAGCGGCTGCCCGGCCTGGCAGATAACGGTGGTGTGCAGGGCCTGGTACATGTTTTCCTTGGGGTTGGCGACATAGTCGTCAAACTGGCCGGGTATTGGGCTCCACACCTGGTGCACGATACCCAAGGCTCGGTAACAGTCCGTTTCGGAATCGACAATCACGCGAACGGCGTACAAGTCCAGAATGTCCCTGAGTTCATCGCCCTGGGCGGCATACTTCTGCATCTTGTTGTAGATGCTGTAGATGCCCTTGGGCCGGCCGTAGACCTCGACCTGCAGGTCGGCCTCGGCCAGCATTTCGCGAAGACGCTGGCAAAGCTGTTCCACATACTCTTCCCGCTCGGCACGGCGAACGGCCAGCATGCGGGATATTTCCCGATAGCGGTCTTCATTCAGGTGGCGGAATGCCAGGTCGTCGAGTTGCCACTTGATTTCCCAAATGCCAAGCCGGTGGGCCAGAGGGGAGTAAATGTCGAGGGTTTCCTGGGCGATGATCTTGCGCTTGGCGGGAGGCAAGGCATCCAGGGTCTTCATGTTATGGAGGCGGTCGGCCAGCTTGATCAGCACCACCCGAATGTCTTCAGCCATCGCCACCAGCATCTTGCGGAGGCTCTCGGCATGCAGCTTGTCCGGATCGTCTGAGGGATCGACCGTATTGAATTCGGCGCCGGGAAGCCGATAGTCCATGCGGGTCAGCTTGGTAACGCCGTCCACCATCTTGGCCACTTCACGGCCAAAGGCTTTTTCGATATCGTCGAAGGTAACGGCGCAGTCCTCGATGACGTCATGAAGCAGGGCTGCACAAATCGTGTGGCAGTCCAGATTAAGATCAGCGAGAAAGGCGGCGGCCTGCAGGGGATGAATAATGTAAGGCTCGCCGGACTTGCGTACCTGGCCGTCGTGGCACTCATCAGCGTAAAGATAAGCTTGCTCTATCTGAGCTACGGCATCGTCAGGCAGGTAACGGGACACCTTGTCAAGGAGTTCGTTGGCCTCCTTTACCTCTACCCCATATCTCATATACCTACTTCTTCACTTTCGAGGATAATAATGCTTACATAGCATTAAAGTCCATACGATTGACTATGTCAATTTAAGAGGTTTTTACAATCCGGGTTTTCGAATGCCGTCTCAACCGGCCGGATTAGTAAGCAATAACAAGCAGCCCTGAACAATATCAGGATGCGCCTGACCGAGGCGGCTATTCATTCTCCCTTTACCCTGCCGCTCCGTCAAACGTCGCGCGGTGAGGCTTAATGTCCAGCACCGGCGAACCGTCCTGCGCGTCCAGTCCGGTTACGTTAATAACATTATCCTCCACCGATACTATTTCGGCTACCGTCGCCGCAATGGCATTGGGACGGTACTGACTACGGGTGGCGAATACACCGCGCAGGGGATTTGCGGGATTGTGGCCGGGGTGCAACTGCAACTCGTACTCGGTAGCCCGGTGCAGGTTGAACAGGACCAGGATGTGGCTCTCCTCTTCCAGGCTCATCAGGCCAGGGGCCATTTCCGGCCTCAGCACGATGCGGGAGGGACGTGTTCGCATCTCATCGGAAGGTGCATAACCCTTGAATTCGCTCTCCACCCAGCCGACGGGGGTGAAGGAGACCGGTTGGTCAGCGCTGTTCCTGCTCATAAGCCGCCTCACCAAACTCTAAAGCTATATCTCACTAAGCCAGGAAGGGACTACACCCCCGCCGTTACCGGGGCCAGGGAAGCCAGCCAGTCCAGCACCGCGGCCGAGGCTTTGTCGGCGCTGTTCATAAGTGAATGGTCGCCTCCCGGGACTATGTGGTACTCAGCGCGCGGACTGTTCACCGACGCCGTTACCATGTCCTGCGGGCAATCGCGCAGGCGGGTGTGGGTTTCCAGTTCGCCTCCCAACACCAGCATGGGAATCCTGACCCTGGGAGCCAGTGACACCAGGTTGTATCGCTCGGCGGGCCCGTGCTTGTCCAGGTAAGAAAAGGCGCTGAACATCTGGGCGATGGGGAACCTGACTTCCATCAATTCCTGGGCCCGATCCTCTGCTTCCATCTGGTCGGCCTGTTCAATGATGCTCTTGAACTCCTCTGCATTCTCCGATTCCATGTAGTAGGAATAGGAGAGGCGCACCGGCGAAATGGGGATTACCGTAACCAACCGGTCATCGTCCTCGGTGGCAGCGTAGTAGCCTACTTTTACGGCGCCCATGCTGTGTCCCAGCAAGCCGATACTGCGGTAGCCTTTGTCCCACAGGTAGTCTATACCGGCCCGGAGATCGTGTCGGCTGTTGTCCACAATTTCCATGGCATTGCCGTAGTACATGCCCGATCCCTGGGGAGCCCAAATGGTGTCGTGGCCCTTGGTGTTCAAGGCCAGGCAGGCGTAGCCCTGGTTGCGCAGGTCTTCGGCCATGGCCTTGGTGGCGGGCCGGTAGAAGTTTCCGCCGGAACCGTGGATAAGCAGCAAGGCATCCACCGGGCCCTTGGGGCTGACACCGGGAGCGGGTTCGAAAAAAGCGCCGTCCAGGTTCATTCCATCAGTGCTGGTAACCGTAATCAAATCGACTAACATGGAGAGTGCCTCCTGTCTGCTCGTAATTCCCGCGTTATACGGTAATTTTAGGCCAGAGACAGATGGGACGCAATGAGGAGGACGTTGCACAGGTTCAGCCTAACCTGAGGGTAGGGGATTGCGCTCATCCTGGGGCTTGTCGAGGTATGCCTATTCCAACAGCCTGAGTTACGACAGGCTGACCATGCCCAGACACGCTGGCTGCGCCAGCGTGGCGGAGAAAGCGGGGGATAGAAGGGAATTTAGTCCAGCAGAGGGATGCGGCCCCAAACAATGGCATCGGGGTCGGCAGAGGCGCCCTGTTCGCGGGCTAGTTCACGGATCTGGAGCAACGTGGCGTTAACCTCGGGAGTCAGGAACACCCAGTCCGGCTCCTCGGGGAACCAGTATGGCGAATTAATGCGAACTATCTTGCCCTCGGAGGCATTGAGGTATATACCGAATTTTGAAAGGTGTTGCATAGATTCAGTCGTCCCTCTGTCCCTCACCCCGGCCCTATCTCCCAGGGAGATAGGGGTGTGCTTATATCCTGTCATCCGTGACCAAAAGCCGGGATGAGGCCCGCTTTCAGGCTATGATCGGCTCAACCAGGATAGTTTCGTCGCGCCTTGGGCCGGTGGAGATAATCTGGACCGGACAGCCCACCAGTTCCTCGATTCGACTGACGTAGGCACGGGCGTTGCCCGGCAACTGGGACAACGACGTAGCTTTGGCGGTGGGTTCGTCCCAGCCTGACATCTCCTCGTAAACCGGCTCGCACTGTTCCAGCAGACGTGTGTCCGACGGGAACCGCTTCACTTCCTGCCCGTTGGCCCGGTAGCCAACGCAAATCTTGACCGAGGAAAAGCCGTCGAGAATGTCCAGCCTGGTCAATACCATGCCGGTAAATCCGTTCACCTGCTGGCTGTACCTGCCGGCCACCGCGTCGAACCAGCCGACTCGGCGGGCACGCCCGGTAGTCACGCCAAACTCGTTTGCCATCTCCCGCCAGGCATCGGCAGCTTCTCCGAATACCTCCGTGGGCATGGGCCCGCCGCCTACCCGGGTGGAGTAGGCCTTGTACACACCCAGCACACCCTGTATGGCTTGCGGGTTGAGTCCCAGGCCGGTGCAGGCGCCGCCGATAGATGGGGAAGAGGACGTAACATAGGGGTACGAGCCATGGTCCAAGTCCAGGAGGGTACCCTGAGCCCCTTCCAGCAGAATGTTCTGGTCATCTTCCAGCAGGTCCTGGACCAGTTGCTCCGTGGGGCAAACATAAGGTCGAAGCTGGTTTCCCCACTCCAGGGACTTCTCCATAATCTCTTCGGAGGACAGGGCTTCCCGGCCATAAACCGCCGTGATCACCTTGTTCTTGAAGGCTAGAGTCTGCTCTAGGCGGGGCCGCAGAGACTCAGGAGCCAGCAGGTCGCCTACCCTTATGCCCATCCGGGCCGTCTTGTCCATGTAGGTGGGCCCTATGCCCCGGCCGGTGGTTCCTATGGCGGAACTGCCGCGGGCTTCCTCTTCCCAGGCATCCAGCAGGACGTGGTAGGGCATGATGACGTGGGCGCGTTCGCTGATGCAGAGCTTGTCGGTGTCTATGCCGCGCTCCGAAAGCCCGTTAAGTTCGCCCATCAGGACTTCCGGGTCCACCACCACGCCGTTGCCGATTATTCCGTAGACATCGGGCCAGCAGATGCCGGAGGGTACCAGGTGAAGCTGGAACTCGCCCTTTCCGTTGACTACGGTGTGACCAGCGTTGTTGCCTCCGGCGTAGCGAACCACGGCGGAAACCCGCTCGGCCAAGTAATCAATTACCTTCCCCTTGCCCTCGTCTCCCCATTGTCCGCCAATCACGGCAAAAGCCGGCATCATGCCTCCATTACATACAAACCTTGTCCGCCTCCCTCAGATGAGGCGGACACCGTCGGGCAGTATAACAAAAAACCGATGTCAATGAAAAGACTTGTTTATACCGAAGAGTTGGCAGCGGTGCCTCGCCACGCACAATAGACCGGTTGGGTTATAGTGGCTCCATGACCACGATAAACACTATTGAAGACTTGGCCCGAATCCTCAAAGAGCAGCCCACTTGGGCGGAACCTCTCCGAGCCCTCATTCTCAGTGAGGATTTACTGGACCTGCCGTCCCGATTTGATCGGTTCATTGAGGAACAGCGGGAAGCTTATAAGGAGCTGCGCCAGTTCAACGAGGAGCAGCGGGGAGTCAATCAGGGGTTTATGAACAGGCTCAACTCTATAGAAGGCCGGCTTGGCAACCTGGAAGGTGGCCGATAAGAGCGAACCGTTCGAGCCAAGGCTTTTGCTCGTGCTATCGTTTCAATGAGATTCGAATCCGCCTATGTTGCCTTGAATCAGGATGGTCTGACTGACCCGAGACTAACTCAGTCCGTAGAACGAGCAGTGCGAAGCGGGGTTACTGCTCCAGAACGGATCGTCGACCTTTATGAAGCCGATCTGATAGTATCCGCCAACCATAATCGGCACATGGTCGTTGAAGTATCGGTAACTGCTGACAATAGCGACATAGATTGCGCCCGAGCACGGGCGGACGTCCTTGCTGAAATAACTGGCGGGGAAGTCACTCCCGCCGTCTTCACCGCAAACCTGAACGCCCCCCAGAGGGAACTGGCGGAAGCCCAGAGTGTTGAGGTATTTATGGTTCCCACCTGAACCCATTGATCCTGGTACAGCCCAGATTATAGACCCCCACGATTCGGGCAGCCCTTGTGGCTGCCCCTACTCTTGTCTGGAGCAGCGGTCGGCAGACACCTTCCCGTTGACACCCAAATCGGCCCCCGCCTATAGTAGCTTGCACGTTTTCTCGCTGGAGGTATCCACGTGGCCAGTGATGGCACCTACGACCTTTTGATTGTTGGCGGCGGGTTGGCCGGTATGACCGCCGGAATGTACGCCGCTCGATACGGCCTCTCCACCGGGCTTATCGAGCAGATGATGGGCGGCGCCCAGATTATCAATGTGGAACGCATCGAAAACTTCCCCGGCTTTCCCGAGGGGATCGCCGGCGCCGAGTTGGGCCCTATCCTGCAGGAACAGGCGATGAACGCCGGAATGCAGTTCATCATGGACGAGGCTAACGAGGTGTCCAGGGACGGCGATTTCAAGCTGGTCTCCGGCTACGCCGGAAGCTACCGGGCCAGGGCAGTGATTGTTGCCACCGGTTCCAGGCTGAGATCGGCGGGCATACCCGGCGAAGAAGAGTATCGTGACCGGGGCGTGTCCCATTGCGCCACCTGCGACGGCCCCATGAGCATGGGTCAGACCGTCGGCGTAGTCGGTGGCGGCGATTCGGCAGCCGACGAGGCTCTCACCCTAACGGAGTACGCCGATCGGGTATTGCTATTCCACCGGCGCGACCAACTGCGGGCCCAGCACGTCCTCCAACAGCGCCTGCAGGAGCATCCCAAGATTCAGCTTCACTGGAATACGCAGGTCGTTGAAGTGCTGGGCGACAACTCGGTAACCGGGGTGAGGTTGCTGAACACTGCCAACAACGAAGAGAGCCAGGTGGCATTGAACAGTCTCTTCGTCTACGTGGGGCTGGAACCCAACTCGGAACTGGTCCAAGGGCTGGTGGAAATGGACAACGCCGGTCACATTCCGGTAAACCTGTCTATGGCGACCACCGAACCGGGATTGTACGCGGTGGGTGACGTGCGTCAGCATTCCGCAGCCCAGTTGGTGGCCGCCGCAGGTGACGGCGCCACAGCCGCGATTGCGGCCTACAAGTACCTCCGTGGGACCTGAACGCGTGGGTCCCGAGGGAGTGGGCCCTGAAGACATGGGAGAAAAGGACGGACCGGAAGGCTCCCGGAGTGCATCCCACGCCCAGCCCGCAAACACACAAAAAAACAAAACAAACACCAAACACAAAACCAACCCAAAAAAAAAAAAACACACAAAAAAAAAAACCACCAAAAACAAACAAAAACACAAAAAAAAAACAAAAAAAAAAAAAAAAAAAAAAAAACAAAAAAAAAAAACAAAAAAAAAACAAACAAAAAAAAACAAAAAAAAAAAACAAAACAAAAAAAAAAAAAAACAAACAACACCCCAAACACCAAAACCCCAACAAAACACAAAAAAACAACAAACCACAAAAAAAACAAAACAACCACACAACCAAACAACACAAACAAAAAAACCAAAAAAAAAAAAAAAAAAAAAAAAAAAACAAAAAAAAAAACAAAACAAAACAAAACAAAAAAAAAAAAAAAAAAAAAAAAAAAAAAAAACAAAAAAACAAAAAAAAAAAAACAAACAAAAAAAAAAAAAAAAAAAAAAAAAAAAAAAACACCCCCAACAAACCCCACAAACCACCACCCCACCAACCCAAAACCCCCCCCCCCCCCCCCCCACCCCCCCCCCCCACCACACCCCCCCCACCCCCCCCCACACACCCACCAGGCCCCTAAAAAGAGGAATCAGCACAGGCAGGCCAAACCCCTGGAAGTCCAAACCCGTGGCTGATTGGCACCGACCTGCAACAAGCCCGCAAGCGGATTCATTGGGTTGGCGGAGCCGGGCTGGCGGCGGCGGTCATAAACTTCATAGTGATAATGTCCACCTACTTCGTAGGGGATACGGGAGTTGAGGGTGTAGTACAACCCAGCCGGGGCGAATTCCTGTTTGTGCTTCTGGAGGCGGGACTGGTGGCCGGCCTGGCTGTAGGTGTTCTAAAGTGCAATCGGGCGGCGGCGGCTACACTCCTGGGTTATCAGGTGGTAAGCAAGCTGGTCCTGTTCGGCCTGGCAGTTTTCGGCTTGGGGCCGGGCAATCTGAATCCGGTTTCCCTGGTGCTTAAAATCGTCTTCGCCTACCTGTTCTTCCAGGGCTTGCGGGGAACCTTGACCTGGCACTACCTGACACGCCCTGAGCACCCTGCTGCCCTTCCAGATATTGATGCCCCCGCAGAAAACTAAAGAGACACCAAGGGAGGAAACTCAACCTTAGTGTCTCTTCATGTCGTTCGTGGACTAAAATGCTATAAAGAAACTGCCCAGATTACCTTCCCTGCATCAAAGGGAAGACACCCTCGGCAAACTTGGTCAGCTGGTCCTTGAAGACTTCCTGGGGCATGCCCATTACCGCGCCCAGATTGACCCGCTCCGCGCCGGGGTACTTCTCCTCCACGCTCATCAGGTGCTCAGCGATCTGCTCGGGCGGGCCACACAGCCAGACCTTGTTCTCAACCGCCTCCTCCAACGTGGGCAGTTCTATGCCCTGGGGACGGCCGGGGCGGGCTACCTCGTCTATTTGCTCCTGATTCAGCCGCATCAAACCCAGAGGAGCGGCAAACTTCATTGCCTCTTCAAAGTAGGGTCGGGCCTCTTCAATTGCCTTTTCCTGGGTGTCGCCGATGAAGAAGCGGTAACCGAGAGCAACGTCTTCGCCAAGGCAATTTCGCGCCGTGGGCCGCGCGCCTGCTGGGACAATTTCATAGATCACTCAGGGCGGACTCAGGCGGGTGGCGATCAGGGCCTTTATGCCCATTTTTACCCATGAAGGTCGATCCATTGGGGTTGCCGCTGACCAGGGGCTGCCAGATTTCCCACCCGGTGACTGATGGGACGGGGAACCAGGCGATCTTTGCCAGTGGTAGCCGCGACCCCCCCTAAGTGGCACCGACGACGGGAAACTGTAGTGCTTGCCCATCGTTGGGAAAAGGACTCTTCGGAGAAGGCCTGGACCAGCACTTCCACACTGCTCCCCGAAAAGCTCTCCGGTTGGCATCGGTCTCGTCCAGGCATGGGCCGAGGCGAAGGTCTGCGAAATTCCCAGCGTTTAGGTAGCCCCGGCCACCATTAATGAGCACCGCACCGCGGTATAAGAATGTCAGCCATGGTATCTCGGCCAGGCGCAGGGGTGCCACTATGGGGGGGTGAGTGATATCCGAGCCGACTTAAGCCGCTCTCGTATTGCTGGCCATGGGAGAGGCTCAGTCATCAGGATGGTTGGGGGGGATGCACTCGTATTTCCTTCCGTTTGGATTAGTGTGCTCCGCCATCCTAGAACTTCGTCAAATTTAAGACCAGGATCTACAGGTGGAGCGAGAAGTCCAGGGTCCCAGTGCAAATAGGCCTCGCACCCTTTGTCGTTGGGGATATGTTGCGGTCGTTGGCTTTAGGATTCATGCCCTCGAAGCCAGGTTGTCGTCTACAAACGTGTCCGGGCGTAAGAAGCGCTCGAAAAATGCGAAAATACATTGGCTATTCCTCTAGTTGTCCGGTTAGGGTGTTAGTGCCCCTATAGGTTACTGTTTAGTCCGGATATCTGTTACACCGACCGGAGCGGGGGGCGCCGGGCTGGGCTTTTGTGCAGTCCACGCCCAGAGTGGCGGGGAAGGAATAGGACTCGGATATAATCTCCTCTAATGGTCCAACGACATCCTTGTGCATCTGTCCGCATTTCCCGGTTCTGGACTCGTTCAACATTTGTCGGACCAGGCCTTCTGGTTCGTTTAAAACACGTGCCGTTGACGTTGGGGGTCCTAGGTCAGAGGCCAGCCACGTGGTGAAGGGAGCATTAGTCTCAGCTTCGCCGCGCAGGCCCGCCCACGTTGCCGCCCGCTTCACGCCGCGGAAAGCTAGCGCAAGTTGCGGGCCTCGTGGGAACACTGGCCATATAATGGGGTCTGGGCGCTGGGAGCGATGGAATTGGCGGTAGCCGTCGCGACCCCATCCTGGGACACACCCGATGTGAACCCGGCGATGCCATTCCTTGGTACGCCGCCCGTTCGTTGGGCTGGACCTTGTTGCCGAAAGTCCCGATAGTGGAACTGCAAGTTTGTATACCCCGGCTTCCGACCGCTGCTGTCGGGTAAGAGATACAGGGTGCTTGATCGCGTTTTAAATGGTTCCCTAAGGTGCATTCGGTCGGATTATACGTCTTTCGTGCCCATATACTGCTCTGATCATTTCTATCGTGATAAAATCCTCCGGTCGCGGTAGAATGCCGTGGCAGGTTAACAAGGAGTCCGATTTGCCATAAGCGTCACTTGATGGGCAGTCTGGTACGATTTTCTCGCGTCCATCCATGGTTGCCCCGACTCATAGGCAGGGCTACTGCCTCGCAGCCGGCCTCTCGTCACGAATCTCTACGGCACCTGCTCGGCAATGGACTGGTCGGCAGCGCTGCCGTTTTACCAATGTTGACGATACGGGTCAAAACTAGCACGACTCTGGCTACCCTCGGAGGCCATCTGATGGCCACGCCCTTGAGACGCCGCGGCTGAGCGGTTACGGATTGCTACAGTTTGTTCTCAATGAAGATTGGGCATTTATGCGACTTAAAGTATTTTGTTTTAGTTTTTCTGTTGAGTGTTGTTTTTGGTTGGCTGTTTCTCGGGCCTTTAGTTGGTTATTCGAGTATGTGCTTAGCCGGCTATTTAGAGTGTTTTTTGTTTTGTGTGCTTTTTGTTGGTTCTTTCTAGGTTGTACTGCTTGATTTTTGGGTTTTTTTTTTTCTTCTAGTTTGGTGTCCCTTTCTACGGTTTTTTTTTCTAGATTTGTTTTTTTTGTAGTTTGTTCGTGTGTTTTTTTGTTGTTTTAGTGTTTTTTTTTGAGGGCTTGTTGTACTTTTGTTGGTTTTGTTTTTTGTTTTTTTTTTTGTTTTTTTTTTTGTTTTTCTGTTTCTTTTGTCGGAGTAGTTTCGATATTGGTGCGCATGTAAATCCGGTAGAGCCTCTGCTCTCTTCACGCCAGGGGATTTTTTTGGGCGTGATGTAGCTGCCCGGGTCAGTTTGATTCTGCATGAGGGGCAATGTCCTCCATAGACCATGTGACCGTTCATTGTGTAAATAGACGTCCAGGATTACGGGGGCCTGCGATTCCATCATTGGGATATCTCGATGAATTAGACCAGGAAGGTTGCCCGGTATCGTGGTCCGCATACGTCGCTGTTGCCATGTATTAGCAGAGAATGGGGGCGATTGGTCGTCCGGTTATCCTATGGTCTCGGTGCATTTTTTGACGGTTCAGGGTATTGGAATCCGCCACGGGCTTTTTTCTTGGCGTTTAATTTCCGCAGCGCTATCGGTTGATGGCGTCCTATCATTTACGGGTGGTTATAGCCTATGTGGGCGTCATGGGAATTGGCGGTTACGCCTTCCGTAGTCGGCCCTATGTTACGGGTCCCACTTTTTTATTGATACCTTGGTGATCACCCGGCGATTTGCCCGAATGGGCGGCGCGCGTAGTTGGCCTGGCCGGTTTAATTGCCCTGGAAGCCGACTGGGAGATGAAGGTGATATCCCGGCCGTCCCCTCGTCGTAACCGCTGGCTGGAGGAAGGAGAATGCAGGCATTTTGATCCATCGCTGGAAGGGTGCCATAAAGTGCACCGACCTGATAAATTCGTGTCCCACTCCGGCTCGGGTCTTATGTTGAAAATCATTCGGTCGCGGGGATGCCGGCGCAGTGTTTACGACAATGTCCTAGCTTGCAAAAAACTGCGATGGCAAGTTTTCGGGACAATCTTTCTCGCACATCCCTATGGTCGCACACCGAATCAGGCAGGACTACGGCCTTTGACCGCCTTCCTGTTAAGTATTTCCGCAACCACCATACTGCTTCCGGGAGGGACTTGGTTTCTGATCTGTCTGCTTCAAAATTGACGCGCCGGGTCAACCCACCATATCTCTGGTGGCACGCCCTCGGGCCATGAAGTATTGGCTACACGCGGCACCAGCCCTCTTCGGAAGGAGCGCTTGGTAACGCTGGTCTAACCTGTCTCTGAGTTGTCCGCCAA